TGTACATTGGATACTTTTTCTTCCATTCTTGTGATACTTTGCTAAGAAGAACATTTTCCAGTTCCATCCATGTAAACATGAGGGAGGTAAAGTCTTCATCTTTCTTATGGCTGCATGGTATTCCATTGGGTACATATACCACAGTTTATTAATCCATTCGTTGATCGATGGGCATTTGGGCTTCTTCCATGACCTGGCAATTATGAATTGGGCTGCAATAAACATTCTAATACAAATATCTTTATTGTAATGTGATTTTTGATCTTCTGGGTATATACTAATAAAGGAATTGTAGGATTGAATGGCAGGTCAATTTTTAGTTCTCTAAGTGTTCTCCAGACATCTTTCCAAAAGGAATGTATTAGTTTGCAGAAAATGCTCACTTCTTGTAGGACACGTCATCCTAATCTTCCATCCACTTTCCTGAAAATGGGTTCATGCATGGCTCTACCTACCTGCAAGGGCAGCTGGAAAATTATTTGTGGTCAGCTTAAATTTAATAGTTATACTCCCAGAGTAAGAAGGGGTGAATGGTGAGGTTTCTGCCATAGCTCCTAGGACAATTTTCTCACCCATACAGATACAAACTTCTTGAATGGAAAAAATTATGAGGGTAATCCTTATGATCTTGTGTTTAAAGGCTTATTTGATGTGGACAGAGTTTACTCAAAAGCATTCTTCCCCAATGCCGAAGATATTTCCTTATTGATTTTACTCAGAAAATTCTCAATAGCTTAAGCTACTCTTTCTTAGAAAGATTATGTTCTTTCTTAACAAGTACTCAAGTATCATTATTTCACTCATTTTTTTGTTTTTGCTCCTTAAGTAGCCTGTGGTAAATGCTGAGTTTGCCCCCCTTGTTCCAGCTCTGGGAACCACAAACATCTCTTATTTTCCCTTGGGTTGTATGGCCAATGTACATCGCTCAGGACATTTTGATTACTTCATTCCCACCAGCCAGAGATGTGGAGAGAAATTGCCACCTGTTGACCCTTGTACTAGGGAGGTAGAATAACCATTAGGGTGTTTTCCAAAGGAGGGAGATATTCAATAAGTTTTTTAGTCATGAGAAGTAAATATTAAGAGACTCATCTTCTTAATTTTTCAGTCTATGAAACCAGGAGGTGCAATGAGACAAGCGAGAAGGCTCTTCTGGAAGCTGGAAACAATAGTATGCATATTGACTGCACTCGTACTTTCAAAGGAACTACAATGGGTACTGTGCCTATGATGGATTCTCTTGACTGTCAATTCTAGGCATCATTATTTCATCTATAAGATATTAGACCAAAGGATAAGACCTTATAACATATTCATAGGAGAATTATTCTCAAAGATTTAATCAGGCAATTGAGAGGATGAAGTTGAAATCTTAAAGGAGTGTACTTTGGGAAACATACCTAGGGTCTAATAGGATTCTTTGATATTCTTCCTTAGAAGTGACAGGCTGACACATTATTTATTATTATACATGATGTTTGAAAAGGTAACATTCAACAGTGGCAGATCACTTTGAACATTCTTTCCTTTCAGAAGAGTTTTGTGAAAACCCAAAGTAAAAGAGTTCCAAAGTTTTTTCTGTTTTATAGGTTGGCAAAATTACTCTGTAAAAGGATCAGAGAGTAAATATTTTAGACTTTTTGCACCAGGGGAACCTCATCGTAACTTACCCAAGTCTGCCAGAGCAGCATGAAAGCAGACATACATGCTAAGTCAATGAAGGTGTGTGGCTGTACCAATAAAATTTCATTGACAAAAGTGGGTTTCAAGTTACATGTGACCCTCATGCCATAGATTGATACCCTTCCCATACCATAGTTTTCCATCCCTTTACTTTTGCCTCAGAAAAGTACCTTCCCTATGTAATTATTTTCTAATTTATTGATTGGTTTGCTATCCATTTCTTCCACTACAATGTTAACTCTCTGATAGCAGAGATTTTGTCTGTTTTGTTCACTGCTGTGTTCTAATTCCTAGAATATCTTGGCACACAGTCAGGGTTTGATAAGTATGTGATGAAAGAATAAATAGAATAAATAATGCATATAAACTATTTCAAAGAATAAGACATGGTTAGATTGAGAGTAGTACACCTGCTGCATTTACTCCAAAAAAAATTCTTGGCTATTGATTAACCTTTGCCCCTTACTGTGAACTGTAGAGTAGGGGGAGAGAGGGAAAGCATCTAAAATGAGTTGATTTTTAAAAGGGAGTAATTAATAATACAGGTAAGTGGCTTTGGTCAAAATTGGGCTGTGGCACATAGATAACTGAAGTTTGGGGAATATCCCATCAGGTTACAGAACACCCAATGAGCACTAGATGTCAGTGAATTATACTTTCATGAAAGGGGGAGGGTGAAAAGGAAAAGGAGAGAGAGAGGGAGATGAAGGAGGGAAGGAAATTGAGTGAATTAAATAGAATGGCTCACTCTGCATACCTTTCTACTAAATTAGATACCTGAGAGTGAGAAGATGGGAGTGTGTGCCTTCTTTAGCCCACTTGAGTTCCACCTGTTCCTCTGAGAAAAATAATTGCCTCACGACTCTGACTTAGATGCCTAAGAGCTCATATATATTTTTACTTTCCACTGATGAGCATATTTTGTACATGTATCTCTTATAATGTGTGGAGTATTATAATATGTATTATATAACTAAAAATACTTTACCCCAAACCACATGTAGACTGCTGAAAGTGCAATTTAAGGAACTTTCAAACTATCCATTGTTTGCTTTCTGGTCATCATCTAAGACACTACTGTACTAAATCCCCAAGCTATGAACACTCCCTAACATTATTTTTCTTCTATTCTCTCAGGTGTAAGTGCAGTTGCCCTTATCACTTATCAGTCTCTCGGAGATATTCTGAATGGATCATTTTTTAATAACAGAAGAGGACTGCATGAAGTAAAACTAAACTCTCATGTTGTAAGTGGCACCATTGGCTTGAAGGACAAAGTTTACCTGTCTGAACCCATAGTTCTGACTTTTCAACATACTCAGGTGAGCAGAAGCTAGTGGTGGTTCTCCATGTAGTGTTTTTAATAGAAGGGTGTACTATCACCTTCCAGGCAGGAAAATGAATCCAAATCTAATTTCTAACTGAGAAGAAATGTAAAGGCACCTTAATGAGAAATCACCTCACATCTGTTAGGATGGCTGTTACCAAAAAGTCAACACATAAATATTAGTGGGGATGTGGGGGGAAAGGGAATTCTTAGAGATCTATTTGTGGGAATGTCAACATGTATAGCCACTATGGAAAAGAATAAAAGGTTCCTCAAAAAATCAAAAATGAAATATCATATGATGTAACAATCATGATTCTAGGTATATAGATAAAGGAATTGAAAAGAGAATAGCACCCTAATATTCACTGCAGCATTATTATCAATAACAAAGATTTGGAAACAACTCAAGTTGTTTTAACCAAGATACGAATAGATAAAGAAAAAGTTTTCTACAAGAAATATAATTATATGATATCTTCTTAATTATAGAATAATCTTTGAAGATTCTCTTCTTTTATGAGGCTGAATAACATTCCATTATATATATGTGTATATATTTCATTCATATCATATATCTATATATTTCATTTACATATAGATATATAATGGAATGTTATTCAGCCTCATAACAGAAGGGAATCTTGCCATTGTGACACATGGATAAACATGGAAGATTATTTTACTAAGTGAGCTAAACCATAAAAAAAAAAATACTGCACGATCTCATTTATGTCTGGAATCTAAAAAAATCAAATTCATAATAACAGAACATAGATAAGGGTAGTTTCCAGAGATGGGGTGTGAAGAAAATGAGAATTTGGTCTAAGGTGATAAACTGTGTTAAAACATGAATAAGTTCTGCAGACCTAATGTACCCCATGAAGACTATAGTTAATGATAATGATGTATCATATGCTTGAGATTTACTAAGAGAGTGTTGTCACCACATATAGACACTGGAACTGTATGAGGTACTGGATGTGTTAAATACCTTGATTTTGGTAATCATTTCGTATGTCATATACTGTCCCTTAAATATACCTCATTTTTGTTTATGAATCATCTCTTGATAAAGCTGGAAAGGAAGGTAATGTCTAGATTCCCGGAGGCTGCCTCAGTGGAAGAATTTCTCCCAATTAAAGTCTAAAAGGCAATGAAGAGGAAACATTATTGAGCTCAGATGAAGCTAGAGGCAGGAGGAGGGATTACCTTGCCTGAGATGAGAGAGGCTGGAGCAGAAGGAGTCTGGGAGGAACATCTGACTTCTCTCTCCCACAATGGTCTCTCTCCAGGGCCTCTCACTGGTCCTATCAATGGCTGTTAACCTGGGTGAGGCAGTTTATAAGATTTGATCCCAGGTGCACTGAGATGGACAGAGATAGGCAGAACAAATGAAGAATAAGCTCCGTGGCAGGTCTGGTGATGTGAAAGTCTTCTCAACAACTGTTTTCTTTCCCAATCTAGTTTCCAATACAGTGCACCATGATTAAGCCATAAAGTTGAAATAACCAAACTGAAATAGACTCACCTTCATGCTATTCTCGTTTCCAGGTTGGAGATGTGAAGACAAAACATTTATGTGTCTACTGGAAAGACTCACAGGAAGAGGGAGGCAGCTGGTCCACAGAGGGATGCTCTCATGTGTACAGCAACAATTCTCACACCCAATGCAAGTGCTACCATTTGTCCAGCTTTGCTGTCCTCATAGCTCTTACCCCCAAGGTACCACCATTCATGGTCCCTTCTTGTGAACCTAATTGCGTCAGAAAAGTGTGAGGTCATCTTCTGAATTTCTTAGGAAAAAAACTCTCTAATATAAGAAATCATTATATTATAGGGAGTAGCTTAAAGGTTAGTATATAAGGGGTAGTAGCTTACTTGCAAGGGGATTCCAGGAAACATCAGTAGGGACTGAGAACATTAAATGAGAATGAGACAGAAGCCAATGCAGAAAACATGACCAAGTCCTTCACCATTGTGGGCAACTGGATCTCATTTATTCTGGGGGACTCTGGGATTCAGTGTAGAACTCACATCTCAGAATCATTCTAATTGAGTGGCCAGCTGGGTGTTTATACTCCAACTCCCTTTAGTCATTTCTTGAGAGTTGAATCCAGGGGATGCTCCTTCTCTGACACTTCCCTGGGCATGTGCAGAGTGAGCTCAAGCTAACAAGGAAAGTCTTCAGACACTGGGATGTTTGCTTGGCAGCATCTCTAATGATAAAGTTCAAGGAGGTTTGGGATTGAAAGCATCTGTTATTCTGCAAAAGAAATTGACACCTAACCCTCCCCTCTCAGACCCGAGGAAGTCAACTGGGACACCAGTGACACAACTTAGCCTGCTGAACTTCCCAGATTCCAATAAAGTCTAGGATAATTCAGGTTTAAAGAAATTTACCAGGCCAGGTAAATATCACGCCTGTAATCCCAGCACTCTGAGAGGCTGAGGTGAGCAGATTGCCTGAGTTCAGGAGTTGGAGACTAGCCTGAGCCAGAGTGAGACTCCATCTCTAAAAATAGTCAGGCATTGTGGCAGGCACCTGTAGTCCCAACTAATTGAGAGGCTGAGGCAAGAGGATCACTTGAGCACAAGAGTTTGGGGTTGATGCAAGCTGTGACACCAAGGCATTCTACCCAGGGTGACAGAGTGAGGCTCTGTCTAGAGAAAAGAAAAAAAGCAAAAAAACAAAATTTAACTAATCTCCTCCCCCTATTTCTTCTTAGCTCTCACATATTGAACATTTAGTATATGACAGCCACTGTGTTGTGAGCTTCACATACATTGCCTCATTTTATTACTTACTGAGTGCCTACTATACACCAGACATTGTTCTAGGCCATTGAATACAACAGGAAACAAGACAGATTTTAAAAAACTCTCAGCCTTCCTGGACGTTACTTTTGAGTGTTGTGCTGTCCAATAGGATAACTAGATACTAGATACAAGGCTATAAAGCACTTAGAATACAGTTAGAGCTAATGATGAACCAAATTCTTAATTTTATTTCATTTCAATGATTGAAATTAAAAACCTTGAGAAGCATAAAATATTCTTTAGTTAAACATCACTTTACTCTTTGGTAAAACTACATTTTGCTTTCAACACTGAACATACAGTGTCTGAGTTGAGATGTGCTTTAAGTGTGAAATATCTGCTAGATTCCTAAGGCTTAATATGAAAGAAAAAATAGAATGTGATGTATCTCACTAATAATTGTTTATGTCTCCATAACTGATAATATTTGGAACCTGCTCAGCTAAGTTAAATGCACTGTTAATTTCATCTGTTCCTTTGTACATTTGTTGTTATGGCTGCTAGAAAATGTCAATGTACACACGAGGCTCACGTGTCCCATTTCTACTGCACAGCCCTCATCTAGTTGTTTGGATTCAATACTCCTTTGGTGATGAATTCTGTTGCTGCCCCCATTTTGAAGACAGGAATGGCAAATCTCAGAGAGGTTAAGCGAACACAGTGGTACAGCTAGAAACTGTAATAGAGTCCTCCTTTGGTGGTTTTCAGGAGGATCCTGTGCTGACTGTGATCACCCATGTGGGGCTGACCATGTCTGTGCTGTGCCTCTTCCTGGCAGCCCTCACCTTCCTCCTGTGCCGGCCCATCCAGAACACCAGTACCACCCTGCACCTGCAGCTCTCTCTCTGCCTGCTCCTGGCCCACCTCCTCTTCCTCATAGGCATTAACAGAACCGAGCCTCAGGTATGCAACTGGCCAAATTATCCTGTTGTCATAATCAATTCTAGCCCTCATCTCCCAAGAAAAAGTGGTGAGTGAGGCATTAGTCAGTGCGATGGTGTGTGTGTGGGGAAGAGTGGTTTCCCGTCTCAGGTCTCTTCCTGCATAACTTTGAACAAGATCCCGACCTTCTGAGGGTCAATCCAGCAAAGTGACTGGGAGTCAGCCTGAAGGTATCACACATAACACTAACTGCTCTGACATCAACCCCCCAATGTGGTAGTTTCACAGTAGTAGTTTCCTTTTTCTCTTATGCATCAATGAAGGGTGAGCAAATTGGTTTGGAGAGTGTCTATCTTCTGCTTTCAGTCTGCTTGATGCTCTTCATTGTCTTTTCTTTTTATTCTTCTTCTTTTTTATTTTTTTTTCAGTTTTTGGGCAGGGGCAGGTTTCAACTCGCCACCTCTAGTATATGGGGCTGGCACTCTACTCCTTGAGCCACAGGTGCCACCTGATGCTCTTCATTTTCCACACCCAGCTTCCAAGGTCAGCCTGACATCCTCTTCATTATAGCCAATTGGGAGGAAGAAAAGAGCATGGCAGAGTCTTACCTCATAGGTTTATGTGGGCTACACCAGGAAGTGGGGGGTCCTCACTTCCTCTCATGTTCTATGGGCTGGAACTCAGTCATGTGGACACACTTAACTGCAAGAGCATCTGGAAAATGTAGTCTTTGGCTAGGACGCCACTTCCCAAACAAATGTATACTCTGTATTTGGGTGTCCAGGATAGGCTTGAAGTTTGGGGGAAACAATGCCTTTGCCACACTGATCTACACTTGAATTCAACTGTTCATCCTACTTGTGTATGACATTCTTGAAATGACTTCACTTTGTATTTGTTTAGTTATATTTATTTTTGATTTTATTTATTTGTTAATTTATTTTTTTTCAGGTTGATAAGGGGGTACATATGATTAGGTTATATTGTTTGCATTTGTTAGGTAAAGTCCTGTTCTAGTTAGATCTCACACCAAGGAGGTATGTCATATACCCTCATGTTGTGGCCATTATGTAGGAGCACACCAATCCCCCAATCCTTTTCCATAACTTGAATTGAATTGAGTTTTTCTCTTATCTAGTCATGTATTAGATTGACTACCAGCTTCATAGTAGAATTGAGTATATTGGATTATTGCATCTCCATTCTTGTGATACTTTACTAAGAAGAATGTGCTCTAACTCTATCCTGGTTAATACAGAAGATGTTAAGTCTCCACCTAGTTTAATGAATGAATAGTATTCCATGGTATACATACTCCACAGCCTGTTAATCCATTCTTGGGTTGGTGGGAATTTAGGTTGTTTCCACATTTTGGCTATTGTAAATTGAGCTGTGATGAAGAATTTGGTAAAAATGGCCTTAGGGTAAAATGATTTTTTTTCTTCTGGGTAGGTGCCTAGTAATGAGATTGCAGGAGCAAATGGGAAGTCTTTTTTTTTTTTCTATTGAATGATAACTATGTACATTAATGCACTTCTTGGGTACAGTGTGGGGTTTTCA